AAAAACTACCCCACCCTTGAAAACCATACCTACCTCTACTAACAGCATATATGGATACATAACACAACCTTGCACAGTAAATGATACAAAACCATGAAACAGGACATGTCTCTGATACGGAGGTATGGGATGGAGAGAGACATTAGTCCAAAGGCCTCAGCAGCAGCCAGTTGCAGAGGTTAGGGTGAGCTTTACGAAACAGGCTGACAAACATGGGGGCCAACAAGGTACCACTGATCACGTCACTCCTTGAGCCCAGTTATGGAGTGCATACTGGGAGACTTCTACCAGTACAACAGTAAACAAGATGTGAAATCCACAGGCTCTCCATAATCCACATGCCCTACATGGGGGTGGATCATGGCAACCACAGGAATCTCCGGGCATAGTGGAACCCATGAGGGTTGCACCACATCTCCTGCCAAAGGAATTCTAGAAGTGTTATGCATGAGCTCCATGTTTTCCATTCGTTCACCTTTTCCTCCAGAGGACGTCAGAACCATAATCTATCCCTGAATACCATACTATACTTGAACCTTCTACCTCAGCATCTGGAACAGTCAATCATTGAGATGAATGAAGGAAGAGGATATAATATTTGTATAACAAATAATGAGACTTACTCTGTGATCATTGAACAATTCAAAAATAATGTAGGAAGTAAATTCTATTTCTACTAGTACAATGAACATAATACTTAGAAATGAATGTTTGAAAAATGTACCATTGAACAATGAAAACTATGTAACACAGCTAGTCTAGGAAGCACCCATTTATACCTGGTCCTTATCTCCTTGCCTCTCAGAAACTTATTTTTAACTTTTACAGAAAGAAAGTATTACTTTTCCTTCATATTTTATAGTTGCTCCAAAGTTGATGTCTATATAGCCAAATGTGCCTCAGGATCACCATTTTCATGAGGAATAGCTCAGATCCACTAAAAGAGGCATGGAGAACCCATGCACGGGAGGACTGAATATCATGAATATTTCCTACACAATCCTTCCCAATCATGATGTGGGGAAAGGATCATCAACAATCACAACAAATACTTAAGAGAAAAGCTTGGGATGTGTGATATGAGGGAGGGACGCAAAAGGTTTATTGCACAGTGTAATGGATACAGTTGGGAAAACAAGTCTGAGGACCCATAGCTGGCAGAAACTTCTAGGATCAGAGAACAGTTAGAAAATCAAAACAACAGGATATGCAAAACAGAAAAGTAAAAACAGACTGGTTTGGATCAAGTTATCAAGCTTCACATGAACATAGACCTACCCTGAACTCTATCTCCACCCACATTCACCCTGATCACCCTAGACAACCATTTTTGAAAGAGTCTTGGAAGAGGAGTACCATTTTCTAAGAAACCCCTGGGAGGAAACTTTTCATTAGTTTCCTGAAGCAATTAATAAAAGAAGGGCAAGTGGAGCACAGCAAATGCTCAGAGACAGTGCCCATGCCCTGAGTTCAAGCCACAGGACCAACAACAAAAGGAGGGAAAAAATTATTAAAGGAAAGGCAAATTTCATATGCAAATAACCAAAAACTCCTTAAAATTTCATAGAGGGAATTTGGGAATTGTGTTTTTTTTCATTTTATGGATCTACATTTTGGGGTGTATTTTCTGTTAATAGTGTTTAGTAACACATAAGGCTTTAGGCTTCTGTGGATTTGTCATTATTGGATACTTTAATGCTCTACTTGACTCAGCAATATTTCTTCTCCCATAAGAAGGCTTTATGCTTTTCCAGCCCACCTATCATGTTCGGACCAGGAACTTCTAGGGTAAAATCACACAGGTTCTTTTCTGACTCTCTCATTTGTCTTCTCTCCTAGCCATGGTTCCAGAATCTTTATTCATTGTCAACAGCAAGAAGGAATGGAAGGATCTCTGATGAGATTCTTGTATTTCTCACTGTTCGACATTCCATTTTATGAACCTAAGGGTGTCCAAGATTGAAGAACAGAAAAAAAAATTCAGCTTCAGAAACATGTTTCTAAAAAAACTAAAGATGGCTTGGAGATTTAGCAGATTATCAAAACTTGCCTTCTAAGTTAAGTGCAGGTTTGCTTTAGTTTGTTTCTCATTTTTGAATGTCAGGACAAAGTTGTTCCACTTGTTATGTGATTCAATGACACCTAGGAGGTAACTTCTCATGGAAGTAAAGGTTGGCTAGAAACTGGTCAGACATCACATCCTCATACACAACATTAGACTATCCTAATGAAGTTTTACTGGATTTGCTGAAATAGTGTGTTCAAACATAACTTTGATTGCTGTACAGGCCTGAGTGTGTTATAAGTACTTCAATTGTCTCTGTAAATATTCTTGGACTGCTTTGTGGTATTTGTCTTTCTTGAAACTGAGGCTGTATTTTTGATGGTATTTATAGAAATCTCTGTTTTTCTCTAAGGTACGTACAAGTGTAGAAGTGCTGGACCATATTTCTATGTAATTGTATATTTAGTTCTTTTTAGGACTCTTTGTGCCATCTTTGATACTTTTACATACCTGAGAGAAATGCATCAAGGTTCACATCGTTGTCACCATTTTCCTAGCTTTTGTTGGAGTTTGGAAGGATTTTTGGGGTTTGGTTTAAAACTATGGCCATACTAACATATGTAAAATAGTTATTTTATTGTAATTTTGATTTGGATTATTCTCATGACCATTGATACTACTTTTATATTTTAATCAGCTATTTGTGTATGTCCATTTAGAAACGTCTCTTCAATCTTTTTCCTATTTTAAAATTAGATTTTGTTGTGTGGGGTTACTTGTAGGATTTTCTTTATATTTTATAATTCAGATTTTTTAGGAATCTATTTAAGGACATATGCAAATATTTTCTCCTACCATGCTTTTGCTTCTTCGTTGATAGTTCTTTTCATTATACAAGATTTTGATTATGTGCACTTAATCTTGTTTGTTTGTTTTTTTGGTTTTGTCTTTATTTTTTAATTTTTACTTATGATTTATTTTCTTGGCTTTGTTTTGTTTTCTTTGTTTGGTCAGTTCTGGGGCCTGAACTCTGGGCCTGGCTGCTATCCCACAGCTCTTCAGCTCAAGGCTAGCACTCTACTACTTAAGCCACAGCACCCACTTCCCAATTTTTCTACTTATGTGGTGCTGAGTAATGGAACCCAGGGCCTCATGAATTTGAGGTGAGCATTCTACCACTGAGCCACCATCCCAACCCTTATTCATTAATTTATTTATTGTCAGTCATGGGGCTTGAAATCTGGGTCTGAGCTTGTACCTCAGCCCATCAGTTCAAGCCTAGCACTTTACCACATGGGCCACTGCACCACTTCTGGCTTTCTGGTGTTTCATTGGAGATAAGATTTCACAGGTTTTCCTGCCCAGGCAGGCTTTGAACCATGATCCTCAGATCTGGCTCTCCTGAGTAGTTAGGATTCCAGGTGTGAGCCACCAGAGCCTGGCATTTGTTTGTTTGTCTCTTTGTTGCATGAGTCACTTTTGGTGTCTTACTTAAGATTTACTGTCAAATCTAATGCCATAAGGCTTTCTTCCTCTCCTGTCTTCTCCTCCTCCTTTCCCTTTCCCTCTTTTTCCTTTCTCTCCATTACTCTCTTGTCTCCTCTTCTTCCATCTTTTTCCTGACCTTTGGCTTCCCTTCTCTCCCTCCTCCACTCATTTTCTTTTCTCTTTATGTCTGAGATGAAGACTTGCCAGTTTTCACAACAATTAGGTTTCTAATTTAGAAACACATGTAATACACATACCTCAGACTCCACCATAGCTTTCTACAGCTACTATTGGAGCTTGAACTGCAGGTCTCACAGACAGTCAGCTTCCTCACTCACTGTTGGCACTATCACTTGAGCCTTACCTCTAACCTGTTCATTAGCTTCTTAATTTGAGTTGTCTATCTAGGCTGACTTCCAGACCTCAGTTTCCTCCTTAATAGTTAGGGTAAAATGACAGTCTTGAGACAGAAGTGCTTGTCTTGGTTTTTTTTTATTACCTCAGCATTTAACATTAACACTTAATTGAATACTACAATGAAAGGATTATTGTTACTGGTTTATGTAGAGTTAATATTCAACCTAAACTGAAATAGTTTATCTTGCAAATTGAGTGCTGTATTAGATTTCTAAAAATTGTAACTGTTCTTCTAACTGTGGTAGATTTTCATCACCAAGCAAATTGTTTATGCTGGAGGTATTTTTTTATTATTAATGTAATTTAATATTATTATGGAGGTGATACATAGAGATTAATAAATTCTTTTCATACAGTATATTCCATTCCTTCACTCTCTCCCAATCACTCCCTCCTGTCTCTACTCCTGAGTTGTATACTATATTCTCATCACCCTATTTCCCTCAAATTCTATGGCTCTACCACACCCTCCAGAAGATATTCAAGTGAATACACCATACATAATTCAAAGCACTTTTTATGATTTTACAACTGACCTACGACAGTTGTTCCCTTAAATATTCTATACATTATAGTAATAGCATACATTTGATACAGATCTATTCTAGTTTCCATCTGTTTTACTGCTAGCTTATGAGAAATATATATTGAATTTTATTGTGTTTATAACAGATTCCTTTCTCATACTGATTTCTCGACAATTTGTCTTCAGATCTATTCTCAGTGTGTCTGTCTTGGTAAATATAACACCATTGTGCTTTATAAAGAGCATTTAGGTAAAGATAATGCCTTCCACATCTTGTCTGTTTGTTTAGTCATTAAGAGGAGTATTAGAGGCCGGGCACCAATGGCTACCACCTGTAATCCTAGCTACTCATGAGGCTGAGATATGAGGATCACACTTCAAAGCCAGCGTGGGCAGGAAGTCCATGAGACACTTGTTTCCAATAAAGCACTAGAAAACCGGAGGTGTCGCTGTGTCTTAGGGGGTAGATCACTCGCCTTGATCTCAAGAGCTGAGGGATAGTACCCAAGCCCCAAGTTCAAGCCCCACGGCCGACAAAATAAAAGTAGAGTACCAGTTCTCCAATCATAACGACAGATTAAAGATATCATCATTCTTTGGCCTTTTAACCATGTCTTTGTAGACTTTACTTTTCAGCATAAAATTTTTATTATACAGATTTATGATATACCTGTTATTACCAATGCTCTGTATCTGTGGTAACACAATTTGTGCTGATGTTTATTTCCTCTCATATTATCAGTATTTGTATTTTTCATTATTGATTTTTGCTTAGGGTATCCTTATATTGATTCATTTTGATTTCTTGATAATCAATGTATATCTCCTTGAATAGCTTATTGAGATTTATGAGTGTATTTTCTTCTGTTCAAATCAGACAGAACCTGATATATTTACTATTTTTACATTACAATATAAACATGGTTTCATTTTAGTAATTACTTTGCTATTTTTTTGTTTGTCTCATCTGATACTTCTTTCTCAGTTTGCTTTCATGTAACCTGCACACAGCCTACGATACAGTGCAAATCACCTGTTATATAATCTCCAGGCAGTCTTCTATACACTGTAAATCACTTCTGAGACCTACTACAATTTACATCCTACTGAATAGTTGTTATACTGCATTGTTATTAGGATAATGCCAGTTTTTTCAAAGACTGCATGTTTACTATAGGTGGCATATTTTTCAAGTATTTTGGTTCTATGGTTTGTTGAATCTGTGAAACAAACAAATAGGTAAGGCCTAATAAACTCCTATGAAAATGCTAGTACAGGGGCTGCAAGGTGGCTCAGTGGTAGAGTGCTTGCCTTGCATACATGAGGCACTGAGTTCCATTCCTCAGCAACACTTCAGCAGAAAATGCATTGTGACTTATCACCAATTAAATGGCAGAGAACTAGAAGAGACATTCTGGCTGGAAGTAGTAGCATGCTAGCCTTTAGTGAAAAGCTTAGGGAATATGCCAGGCCCTCCCTGAGTTCAAACCCCACAGCCAACAATTAAAAGGAAAAAGAAACAGTCCCAAACAAATAAAAACCTCATTACTTACTCATGGCCTTTGTTCCTCTTTTACTTTCTATTTGTAACTGAATACATCATGTCATTCCATTTTCAACTTTCTTTCACATTGTGGGTTGAACCTTAGGACTTGCACATGGAAGGTGGATGCTACATACCAACCTATTGTTTCTTCTTTTAACATAAAAAAAGTCTGCTTATAGGACAGGGAAGTTGGCTAAGTGGTACGGTGCTTGCATCCCATGAATGAGGACCTGGGTTCCATTCCTTAGGTCCACATACACAGAAAAAGGCAGAAGTAGTGCTGTGGCTCAAGTAGTAGAGTGCTACCCTTAAGCAAAAGCAACTCAGGGACAGCACCTGAGCCCTGAGATCAAGCCCAAAGACCTGCAAAACAAAAAGTCTGCACATATAAATTAGTCAATGCTTCCTTTGCAATCTAAAAGATATTATTTCCAATCACTTTAGATCACTTTCAACAGTCTTGTCTTCCTTTCCAGTGAGTGCAGGGGCCACACACAGAACAGACCTTATGCCTCTGCTGTCACTTATAAACTAGCTGTTGTACAACAGTCAGAATCAAAAGATACATTTCTGCCCTTATTATTTTGAACATAATGTGATTTGTAAGGTTAGGTAAAAATTAGTGAAGGAAACCCTTCCTTTTCACTTATTTTTTGTGATTCTCATGGATATATCTTGTTGTACACTCAAGTCCCACACTTGTCATTTGAGTTCTCTCTGAACTACTTTTCAATTTGTTTTCTTCTTAGGACATACACATACACACACATGCTCAAGAATTTTTACTAGGTCATCTAACAATTGCTTTATTACCAATTCTTCTTATCCACAAGCAATTGTATCATCTACCTAGGACAAGACTATTATATTAGGCCACTGACTTCTCTTACAGGTCTCTGTGTCAACAGTCACCCTGCAGGAAACACCTGCACACCTTGGCCCATGGTGCAGGTGCCATGCTGTGTTGGTGGTGGACTGATGGGGAGCACATACCCTGCTCTGGGCTGCTCACTCCTGTCCCATGGGGCTTGTATGGTTTGCTGTTGCATAAAGATTTTGGCACTGCCCTCCTCTCCTCAGCTGGCTTCTTACCAAACTTTTCTTTTGTGTACCTTCCATTTTGAGTTCTGGCATAGACCATGAGCCCAACCAACTTTCACCACACCAGATGAAGTCTCCACATCAAACTTTTGGTAACAAATATTTAAGTTAAAATATACATATAAAGTTTTGGCTGGTTTTGTTCAGACTCCATACACAAGTGAGGCAAAAGATGGTTGGCTGTGGATGCTCCAGGTAGTCATCTACTCAAAGTACTGAGACCTCTACAACAGGGACTTCATACAAGGGTTTAAGTGATCCAGAAAAATGAAAGACAATTTTCAAAGAACTTCTCAATTCATTGAGGGAACAGAAAAAAATGTACACTTCATGTTAAGCTAACTATGGGAGGAAAAATGACCCAGAGCTGGGCAAACATAAAGATATAAGTGCTCAAGGTAATGCAAGAGGACCTGGGGTGGTCCCTGAGGGTTTAGTGAAAATCCTATGATAGCCTTGTTCAGTACCCAGTGTGTTCTGTATCCCAGCTTCTGTCCCTTCCAGTCACTCTGAGGTGCATCATTCCAGGTTAACCTGAGGAAGAAACAAGGGCTCTCCTAACATCTTGTTCTCTCATTGGGATCAAGATTGATTGGGAATTGGAGGTTCTTGGTTAAATACTTAGAACTCTGGAGAGCAGACTCTTCAGGGTCCTGACTTTGAATCATATTACCTGCCCCTGCTGATGATATCAGAATTTTCTCTAAAATAAATATGACTTTATTTGTATATTTTATCCAGTAACATTCACTGAATGGCTATTGAAAATAATCTAATTTAGAGCTGAAATCTTCATACAAAAGCAGAACTCTTCTAAAGCCTAATTTTGAAAAGGGCTACAGGATGAACCGTGTGGTAGGACCCTTGACATTCTGAAAACTTATGTAAGTTAACCCTCTCTTCGTGATTGTGTCTAAGGTGAATATGTACCTAAGTCATGGTTCACCACTTCTCTTCTGAAGACATAGCTTTTAGAATGAGCTGAAATTAGATATCCTGTCATTCACCCCTGGGAGTGGCCTTGAAATAAAGTGCAATCAGAAAGGGAAAAACAACAAAAATGCTTAAACACATCTGAACAGCTCAGATTGAAAAGAGGTTTTCTCCTACATCTATGTCCACACAGCACAAGATCACAGTCTTCTTGTTCAAATATATTGGTATTCTGGGACCTTAAACCATCACTACTTGATACTTCTTTTCTTATGATGCTGTTTCAAGTATACTGAAATATTTGGCCACATTTTATATGTTGAGATCTCTCTTTGAAGGTCTCATTCCGCACTTTACAGACGTGGACCACATTGTCCTGCATAGTATCTTGAACCTCTACAAGGACTTATGAACTAGTCAGAAACATAAAGGTCTGTGTATGTGGATTCACTTGACAAAAGAAACCAAAATATTCATACAATCTATCATTCCCCTGGCTTATAAGACATTTCAATATCATCCTCAATTGAGGATAATGACTATACTCTATGGATGACTTTAGGCTTAAACAAGAATGGTAACTTTTCTGCATGAGGGTCTAAAACCTATTTTACAAAATATCTTCCCTGGCCTTGGAGTTCTTTCTACTCAGGGCCTGGGTACTGTCCCTGAGCTTTGGTAATAAAGGAACAAAAGTGTTGACAGTCTATCAACTTGATTCACAGCACTACTTGTGGGAAATTTGGTGATAATTGGCCATAACACTTTTACAGCAATTCCTACCTAGTTTGCCTTTCAATTGTGATCTTTAAACCTCATACTCTTGAGCAAGTAAGAATCCCGATGTGAAGCACCAGTGCCCTGTTAGATCAGGAGATCTTAATTACTTGATCCAAACAGGACTCATGGTGTCCACATTACAGGATATAAAATTCATAACATCATATATATAGCCATATGCAAAGGTCACTTGGTAAAGGACTGTTTACCTATCATTGGGTAAACCACACCCAAATTCTTCCACTAAATATTTGGAAGAATGTATTGGTTACACGTATCTTATTATTGGTCCTCAGGTTGAATTCAGGGGCAAAAATTTGTGAGGCTTCCTTTACCTTCTATGCCAGGTGCCCTTTTGTATCACTGATTTTTCACATTAGGGTCTTGCATCTCTGCCTGGGCCTTTCAACACACTAATTTTATAATTACATATCACAAGTAGCAAAAAAGATAGGCACATATACCCAGAGCCATGCTTTTATTGGCTAAGATACCATTTTCATGGAGCTTTTGCATGGGATGGCCTACAAAACTAATTTCAGCTTCCTGAGTAGTTAGGATTCCACACATGAGGGAGTGTAATTGCTCATTTTTAATTGCTGGTCTGAAATTAAAAGAGGAAAGGGGGAGTTCCGGGAAGATGGTGGAGGAGAAGCTGGAATCTGAACAAGCTCTTGCATAGAAAACAGTTTCAGAGTTCCAGTGAACAGTCCCAAGCCAGAGAATCACACCAAGTGTGCCATCACAGGACAGAGAGTTAGACAAGAGAGGGGAAGCCAAGCAGACACATCTGAGCGCCTGCCAGCAGCTGCTGAGGCGGCGGCAGGGTCGCGGCAGCGACCACCGCCGCGGGGGCACACCTGAGACACAGTCCTGGACGAAGGAGCCAGACGCAGCGGACGAGCGGATTCTACTCAACACCAGCAAGAACCGACAAGGAGCGGACAACTTCATCCTGCAGTTTGCAGACCAGAGACGACCCGGGATCCAAGACTCGGCGTGAGTAGAAGCCCGACTTCCTCACTCCTTCTCAGGGAGCAGTGGAGGGAAGGCCACCCCTCCCCCCAGCACCGGTGATCTCCATCTTGGATACCGACAAAGCTCGGAGGAGCGGCTAGCTCCAGCTCAGGCCTTGGAATAAAATGAGTCATTTAGCAAGTCACAAGAACTTAACGGCGAAGTGACCTCACAGACTCAGTTCCATCCAGGGAAAAGTCACCCAGCTCAGGCGCCAGCCATTGGAGTGGCTCTCCTCACCGGGTAACCAGAGCCAGAGGCTGCCCCTCCCTCTAGCAGCCACCACAATCAATTGAAAAACAGAAACCCTGAGAATGGCTCCAGGCTGGGTGCTGTGAGTTTTTTTTTTCACAAAATAGCCCCAGGGAAAAGCTACTGTTTGTTGAAAGGCCTCAACTCTACCCAGAACCTAGCCTCATCACTGCATCGCCCTCTTTTGTGATTCTCAAAGCAGATCACCCTCCCAGTAAACTAACCTGGGAGGGGGATCTCAAAATCTTGGGTAAAGCAGAGCATTTTTCTGCCTGTTCCAACAAACTGACTTAAGAAACCAATCAAGCCACAGGACCTCAAGCTGACCAGAGACTCCAACCAGACTCTGGTTACAGACAAAAGGGAGATACAGGACTCTTCCCACCCCTCCCAAAAAAAAAAAAAAAAAATCAAAGAACTTTTTTTTTTCTTCTTCTTCTTTTCTTTTTTTCTTTTTTTTGTTTTGTTTTTTTTTTTCGTTTTTTGTTACCTTATATATATAAAAAAATTTTTTTGCTTTTCTAAAACTTTTATTAATCTTTAAATTTTGCCTCTTCTGAAAAAATAATTGTTTCCCATTAACTTTTTTTT